ATTTTTTTATTTTTATTTTTCTTTTATTTTTTATTTTTCTTTGATTTTGTTATTTGATTTTATTTTATTTTCATTTATATTTAATCACTTTTTTGTTGATCCTCGTCCTCGTTAATTGTTTGATTTGTGATAGGCTGTTACTACCAAGGCTGATGATGGAATACCGGACATTGAGGATTACGGGTGGGTGGGTGGCTTATTGAAGTGGCAGTGGAGTTGTATCGCGTTTGTATGGAGCAGGTTCAAGTTCAGTCAGTTATCGTCACTGCTGAACCGAGATCATCAGAAGTTGATAGAATGGCGCAGTTGACGGCTTTACGATGCCATGAGAAGCAGATAACTTCTGCTGAATATACATCGAAGTGCCCAAAAATCCAAATCAAATTGGAATCATTCCGGATGGGCAATGTTATCAAATGGGATGGGATTGCTGGGGTAATGCAAGATGTGATCGTCTTTAACAATAACGATGACACAATTCGATTCAAGTAAATCAGCGGTCTGGGTTGATGATCGACTTCGAAGAGCTGGTTGAATAAATGTTCGATTATTTCGTTGGATTATTGGATAGCTGGTATTGGGATTAAATTCAATATTTGATATCAGGAAAAGGAAGGGAATGATGCCGATGCTTCTTCAATTCAAGATTTTGTATATTCGATTGTTGTTCATCGGGGATATTGATAACAGCCTTTTGGAAGTTGTCGCAATGAATTCGTTGATTTTCTGATTTTGTTTTTTGCGTTGTTGCTGATGATGGTGAGATTTGTTAAAAGGTGATGCTGGATGAAGGCTCGTTTACATACATTCTGACACATCACAATTTGGGCAGTGAACAGTGCAAATAAGTAAAGGAACAATTGTGAATGAGAACACATTAACAAAGAACTCTACTCGATAAAGATGTTCAAATGGCTAAATTGTGCACTCTTATAAACTCATAGGTGCAGTTGTTTGGTATAATACTTTGTTAATTGTTTGGATAATGTACGAATATTATTATAGTGATATCACAAAAGTATTTTTAAATAATACAGCAAGAGGATCTCTAAACAATTATACAAATATGTGAGAATTCGTACATCAAAATCAAAACAATCTCGAAACTAAATACTCGAAGTACAAAATAATCACGTATCATAACAATGGTATTAAATTAACTGTGGCGTGTTTAAATGAATTCTCATAATGAATGACAGATAATATTCTATTGTGAAGACTAAGCAC